GACCTAAATCAGTTAAGGAACCAGAGCTACAGCATATATAATAATAAGAAGATGTGGTATGATTGCCAATGAGACAACTCTCCACCAGCCTGAGACCATATGTCATTGAAGTTAACAACTATAGGGTACCGCGTACGGTCTTCAACAATGAGCAAAATCCTTACTGCATTGTCATGTATGAATATTAAAGGGTGAATGTCACTATGAATACTATGTAAATAATGTTTAAGAAAGGAGCACATATAGATTTATCACTTAAAATAAAATTTACTTAATACATATATTTTTGTACTTGAAGAAATTAATTTGCTACATGTTTTTATGGGTCAAGCTAGTCCTATATATATGCGTCATCTTTTCATTAGGGCCCCGCCGAATGGCGGACGCCCTATTGTGATCAGTCTGTCCATCCCTCCGTCTGTCCGTCCGTCCGTCCTTAACAAATTGTGTCCGCTCTATACAAATAGAGAACCGTTATGATTTCAAAGTTTATACTTGACATGTATATTAACCAACACCAGAGGGTGTGTCATAATGTATGTACAACTTCCTAGGTCAAAGGTCAAGGTCAAAAACTTTGGTTTTAGTTGCCAACCCCATGTCCTATGGTAAAGATCGTGTCCACTCTATATCTTGAGAACCGTTATGATTTCAAAGTTTATACTTGACATGTATATTAACCAAAACAAGAGGGTGTGTCATAATGTATGTACATTTTCCTAGGTCAAAGGTCAAGGTCAAAAACTTTGGTTTTAGTTGACAACCCCATGTCCTATGGTAAAGATCATGTCCGCTCTATATCTTGAGAACTGTTATGATTTCAAAGTTTATACTTGACATGTATATTAACCAACACCAGAGGGTGTGTCATAATGTATGTACAACTTCCTAGGTCAAAGGTCAAGGTCAAGAACTTTGGTTTTAGTTGACAACCCCCTGTCCTATGGTAAAGATCATGTCTGCTCTATATCTTGAGAACCGTTATGATTTCAAAGTTTATACTTGACATGTATATAAACCAACACCAGAGGGTGTGTCATAATTTATGTACAACTTCCTAGGTCAAAGGTCAAGGTCATAAACTTCGGTTTCAGTTGACAACCCCATGTCCAATGATAAAGATATAAATTTTTTACCACACATTATTCACAGCGGGGCCCACAGAGATGGCTCCCATCTCAATGATATCTAGTTATTTAGTGTTTTTAAAGGGGCATTAACTGTCAAATTCATGTTCACCAATATGACTCAAATTCTCATATTTGATTTATAACATACTAAAACTTATATCCCAATTTAAAAAAAGTCTTAAATATACAATTTGCAATATAGGAACTCGATAATATGTATCAGAATTTCGTGTGTATTTTAGTCTAGACGCCTCTAATTAACCATCGAGGTGACCTCCAAGACTGCCGACGGTCATGTAACCTGATATAACATAAACACAGATACAAATAGATAGTAAACACGTACAACTGGATTTTTCTTGGTCTGTTTGATTTCAAATTGTAGGTTAAAAAACTATGTTAATCATCGTTTTTTCCTGTATAAGAATGAGTTTTTGTTGATTGAATCGGTCAACCAAATGGTTTAGTTTTGTTTCACTTTTTGAGTTTCAATGTTGACATTCTTTTCCTTTTATTAGCTGAACATGCCTAGTTTATGTCTAATCAATCTCTAGCTAAGGGGTTTTATTGAAGGTCACATAAAAATGGATTTAATGAGGTCGAATTATTCACTTGCAAGTGAATAATTAATCAGCGATGTTTCTTAGCTTATTTTGACAAAATTGAATCAAACTGGCTGCTAAAAGCGAATTATCATTTCGCTATTTCACTTTCATTAACAATGATTAATGATTGAACAAAATGGAAAAGTATTTTTAAACCATATCTCGTAGCTCATGCCTCTTTAAAGCTGATATTTTCATTTCTTGCTTTTTTTTTAATTTTGAAGCTTGTTACAGCTTGATTATAAAAGTTGAAAATAGCAAATAGAAAAATGAATGAAAAAGAAAATACAAAAAAATTAAAGAAAATGTAAATATCGCCACACAATGTTTGTGTTTTAGGACTAGGGTTATATTAAATTATAATTCGATTTAATTAGTGGTTCAGATTTTTTTTTTTTAATAGATTTATCTGTGACTACGCAGAAGCACCAGGCTTGGTATGGAAATCTTTGGTAAAGTGAAGTTTAAATGGAGGTTTTCTTCAAACAATCATGCATTTTCTTGGAGGTGGAAAAGGATGGGAGGGTGTAAGTAGTTTTTTTTTGCAACCACGAGTAGTCATTTTGAACATTGGGAGGAAAGCAATATATTTTTAACACTATATTCTACATGAATATCTACTTTGAAAGTATTGTGATGTTACAACAAAAATTTATTGTTGACAATCTTTCATATATTTGCAAGATTTTATATGAAGAATATAGAATCATTGATTGTTTGAGGCCAGTTTATATTTTACTGTGAATGTAAAACTAAGGAGATGTGGTATAATTGCCTTAGAGACAAATATGAGCCCAAATTGTCCTGAATGAAAGATGTAAGCAACAGGAAACTCATTTTAAGCAATTTCTTTAAACATTTATATTGGTCAGAATATTTATCTGTATTAAAAACTATACTGTTTTCATTTCTCGTTTCAGTGTTTCTTAAGCAGTGGCTGTACCTTTCCGGTTACTATTCATGTGTTGTGTCTTATGTATCGTAACACTTTATAGTTACTGGACAGGTTGAGTTTAGGCGACAAAACATCCAAACAGCACCAGATCATTATGATCATTTGCGATTCCAGCTGATTTCAGATAAGTAATAAATGATAAAAGAAAGTTAGAAAGCTCTAGTTCATGTAACCGATTTTATTAGATGATTGATAAATATTGAATACAGAAAAAAGCTTAACAATGATCGTAATACAGAAAATGTAAGTTTTGTGATTGAAATGAAAGTAGATCATGACATGATGTGCCTACACATGGGAAGTTGCATACAGCAAGTCCAGTGATATTGGCAATATCCAGTACGTATCATTAAAATTAAAATTTAAAAGATTTTGCATTGTTATCAAAGTGGTACATGCATGACATGTATTATTGTATGTAGGCAACTGGGGAAAACAGATCTCCTTGTGAAATGAAAACAGATCATGACATGATGTGCATATAGCAAGTCCAGTGATATTGACAATATCCAGTACGTACAGATGAAAGAGACCAGTACTGATAATTAAAATAAAAATTTAAAAGATTTTGCATTGTTATTAAACCAGTACTGTATTATTGTATGCAGGCAACTAGGGAAGACAGATCGCCTTATGATATCTTATATATTGAATGCCAATATATAGTTTAATTAAAAATGGGGGTTTGTCATAGACACAAAATTATAACGCAGGCTTACAGACTTCATATGAAGCACCTTAATAAAGTGCAGTCACCAATCTGAACAGTAGAGTGTATGTCTATGATATCATTTCAGCAGGCTATGAGGTTAAGCTCACTTTCAGTAACCTGGTAACCCCAAACACTCTTTAATACAATATAATATTGTATATTACTGTTTCGTTTTATTTGTATTTTTGTAATTCCTCACAATAATAGTAACCAGTTTTAGATTTATGTGCTTTTCCTATATATTTTTTATATACTGTAAATAATAAACAAACACCAAATATGTGAATTTTTTTTTAAAAGATAAAAGACTTTTCAATTGAGCGATTAAACTTAAGTCACCTGATCAAATATATAAAGAAACATATAATGCAAAGATGTCAGCCTTTAAACAAAACAGCCACCAGCTTTCACAGAAACAGATGCCAGCATCCAAAGGAAATGACTGTCAGCATTCAATTTATAATGTGTTGAGACAACTTTTACTTACAACTGGGATTCCAGCATCCCTGAGATTAAGGATGAACATCCAATTTTTTTCATGGGATGGCATCATCCAAAGAGAAAGTTGAGTCTGCATGCATATACATGTAATTGGGATGCCATCATCCAAACAAAAGGTATATCAAAGTCTATATTTATGTTAGATGCCAGCATCCAAATGATGGTGTGTTCAATATGGAACTTTATAAAGCCATATCAGCATCCTGCAAAGATGGATATGCTATTTCCATATTTTTATGCCCCTGCCAAAGCGGAGGGGGCATTTAGTTTTACCCTTGTCCGTCTGTACGTACGTCCGTACGTCCCAAATTTGGTTTCCGTTCTCTAATTTAAGTTTGCCTCAACCAACTTATATACAATGCTTATTACCACAAAACACAGATCAAGTTTGAATTTTGGTGGCGTCACTTTAACCTTTCTAGAGTTATGCCCCTTTATAAATGGAAAAATTGCAAAAATTTTCATTTACGTTCTCTGACTTTAGTTTGCCTCAACCAAATGTTATGAAACTTATAAACAATGCTTATCACCACAATACACAGATCAAGTTTGAATTATGGTGGCGTTACTTTTACTGTTCTAGAGTTATGCCCTTTACAATAGCAATTTTTCATTTTTTTCCAAAAATATTAATGATGCCATTGTTCAAGTAATTTTTATACGACCGCAAAGAAATTTTGCTGTCATATATTGGTATGACGTTGGCGTCGTCGTCCGAAGACACATTGGTTTTCGCACTCTAACTTTAGTTTAAGTGAATGGATCTCTATGAAATTTTACCATAAGGTTCAATACCACAAAAGGAAGGTTGGGATTGATTTTGGGGGTTATGGTACCAACAGTTAAGGAATTAGGGGCCAAAAATAAGCATTTTTGTAACTTCCAGACATAACTTGTGTGTTAGTGTATGGATCTCTCTGAAATTGTACCACAAGGTTTCATATCACAAATGGAATGCTGGGATTGATTATGGGGGTAATTGCCTCCAAATTTTAGGAATTAGGGGCAAAAAAAGGGGCAAAAAACAAGCATTTTTCTAGTTTCATGACAATAACTTGTGTGTAAGTGTATGGATCTTTATGAAATTGTACTACAAGGTTCCATATCACAAAGGGAAAGCTGGAATTGAGTTTGGGGGTATTTGCCGAAAACGTTTAGGAATAAGGGGCCAAAAATAAGCATTTTTGGAAAATGACGCTATCAGCGGCATGTTTCCGATACCATTGACCAGAACTAACGGAAGTTGATTATGCCTCCGCCTACCGCACTCGGTTTCATATTTACTATTTAACATTCTGACTGGAATCTGATTGTATTTCGCTACACTCGAACAAAGTGTTGTAGTCGGACGGGAACCAGTTTACATACGTTATTTTATTTACCAAAAAGATATCTTGAACTGTCCATATGTTTTTTGTTATTAAATGGTATTTGGAGCTATCCCTTTGTTATATTTTTCATATTTATTCGAGCTTTGACTTTTATGCACATGTCTTACAATCGTAAACAATCGGTATGTATACATGATAAATAGATCCGTTTTGTTATGGTGTTGGACTTTTTACCCTCCAATGATCAGCAATCGCTAGACAAAATAGTTCTCCTAAATAATGTCAGCCTTTCATGCCATTTCAACTTTACAATCATTAAAAAAGTAATAATCGGAATCATCTTGATATTCATTGGATAGAAACTGGTCTTTATCCAGATTTACGAAGATTTTAATAATCGGAAATTAGTAATACGGTTATACCCACGCGGTGCGTATGAATCTTTGTTTACAAAGTTATAGCAGCAGAGTCTGTAACTGTATCATTATTAATTAACTACACTGTTATTGTACTTAATATGATGAAAACTGCATATGCAATATAAGATGTCAACTCGGCCAATACAGATTTTTTTTCCGTATTGGCCGAGTTCTGATCCGGCCAAAACAGGATTTCGGAACGTCTCTAGTTTTTAGATCGTAAGTCACGATAAAACTCAAACTGAAAGTAAACAGTTGTTTGTACGACGCAGTTCTTATTTACTCACCATAAACAAGCTGAAACGTTCAGTATGGCATATATGTTATGTTAAAGACGGTCCCATTCATTTGAAAAGCATTTTGAAAGTAGACGATGGAATTATTTCAGGTTTGGGGAACGAGTAAATTATCACAAAGTTCATTTCTTGACGACCTCATAATTTCATCATGTCGATGGTACAAATCGATTTTTACTGTTTACTTTCGCTTCTCATGTTTTGTAAACGGTCTTTTATTTTTAAACCCGAACCAGGCATATGCATTCTGCGCAAATCTTCGTTCTTTGGTCAATTGGCTTATGGATAGTTGTATCAATTTCAACTCTTACATTATTTTTTTTTTTAAATATATTTGCATTACACATGCAATGGCAGTACCTTTCCAATTACTATTTATGTGTTGTGTCTAAATTAAAGTTGTAACACTTTATAGTGACTGGAAAGGGTAGAAAAATTCATCAGATGAGAAAAGGCTGAAGATACATGGAAACGGCACCAAATCATTAGATATTGCATCTTATAAAAAGAAACTGAGATTTGGATAGTTCCACTTCAAGGTAAAAATGTTTATCTCTTGTGAAATGAAATAAAAAAATATTGTAACACTGCAGTTAATTAATAAAGATACTATTACATGTATTTCTGTATTGGCCTTATTGTTGGTCCTCGGCCAGCAGTATTGGCCTTCGGCTTCGCCTCAGACCAATACACCAAGACATGGACCAATAACAAGGACAATACAGAAATACTTACGCAATAATATTATAGAATGACAGTATGGTTCAATAGCGGGAATCAGCCCCTCAACTACTTTTTACATAAATATTAACTTCTGGCTTCAACTCCTTGTTCGTCTTGTCTGGAGATCTTGTTGTAGTTCCAGTTAGGCAAGCATTTTAGAGACGTATCCCGTCCATCCTCTCTTGACTTGTAATTTCTGGTGATAGATTTTGCCGCTTGACGTTGTATCCTTTCAAGCTTGTTTTTTTTTGTTACCGTGTTGGGGTCCCATACTATGGCTCCATATTAAATTGTAAGATCCATTCCTAAAGGTCTAGATCATTGTTCTAATCTGACACAAATTTCAATAACTGGAATGCGTCCCAAGTTGAATATATGGTGACCTACTAGAACAGCATTATCACTATTGAAATTGTGTTTAATACCATGATTGTTCAATGTCATTAACTTAAATGGAGACAGACATTTGGCCTGAAAGGTGGTGTGGGAGTGCAAAATCAAAAACTAACTGACTATGATATATGGTTAAAGAATGAATATCAATTACATGGGTCAACATGGTCAAGGGCAGAGTTGTTATGAAATAACAATATGGCAGAGAAGTGGTTTCAAGTTTCATATAAAGCGACCTGACTGACATGAAATAAAAAATCAAAGGAGTATCCCTATTTGTCTAATCTTCAAGGTGAAATAAAACTAGTAAAACAATATTATACTATTGTCTAAATCTACAGAAATATAATTTGCTTCAAGTAACAGAAATAACTAGGTCACTAGTAACTTATTTAATGAGTATGTGGGGTATAAGAGCTTGATAACAACAGGCTCTTCATAATCATTTGGTTTGAAAAGGATGCTAGTAGTCTATATTCTTGATTTAGAAAAATGTAATTGTAAGACAAAAATCACATTACTTAGAATACTTTAGATCATTCAGGTAGTCTTTATTTATATGTACAAAAGAACAGCCAGTAGTCATTGGATATTGTAGATCATTCAAATAGTCTTGACCTATTTATTAGTACAAAAGAACAGCCAGTAGTCATTGGATATTGTAGATCATTCTGGTAGTCTTGACCTATTTATTTATAGAAAAAAACAGCCAGTAGTCATTGGATACTGTAGATCATTCAGGTAGTCTTGACCTATACATTTATACTAAAAAAACAGCCAGTTGTCATCTTCACATAACACACACATATACGAATATCAATTATACGCTTACGAGACATGTTGGAATGTTAAACTAATTACGGTATGTGAAAATCAAGACTTGCATAAAAAATATCACAATATTAGAGACAGTGGCGTCATTTTTCCTCAGAGCTTTCAGCTCTTTGATTCTAGTTTCCAGACAATAACTTGTGTTCAAGTGTATGGATCTCTCTGAAATTGTACTGCAAGGTACCATACCACAAAGGGAAGGCTGGGATTGATTTTGGGGGTAATTGCCTCCAAATTTTAGGAATTAGGGGGCAAAAAAAATGCATTTTTCTAGTTTCAGGACAATAACTTGTGTGTAAGTGTATGGATCTTTATGAAATTGTTCTACAATGTTCCATATCACAAAGTGAAAGCTGGGTTTGAGTTTGGGGGTAATTGCCCTAAACGTTTAGGAAATTGAGGCCAAAAAGGGGCCAAAAAACAAGCATTTTTCTAGTTTCCAGACAATAACTTGTGTTCAAGTGTATGGATCTCTCTGAAATTGTACTGCAAGGTACCATACCACAAAGGGAAAGATGGGATTGAGTTTGGGGGTGATGAATCATAAGAGGGTTCAAAAAATTTGGGGGGGGGGATTTTTTTTTCCTTTTTTTTCTTTATAATTTTCCATTTTAAATTGGTTATTTCTGATTTATATATAAAAGCAAATAATAATGATATGGTTTGAATAGGTAAATTAAAATTTTTTAAGTTCTTAGACCACATTCATTCTGTGTCAGAAACCTATGCTGTGTCAAATATTTAATTACAATCCAAATTCAGTGCTGTATCAAGCTTGAATGTTGTGTCCATACTTGCCCCAACTGTTCAGGGTTCGACCTCTGCGGTCGTATCAAGCTAGCGGAGCATTTTAATAAAATTGGAGTTATCTTCCTTTGTCCATGATTATAGTTGAATCAACTACAATTAATGCTTTATACAATGCAATGTTTAATTTTGCCTTCCACTGATAAAACACAGATCAAGTTGAATTTGGGTAGTGTCACTTTAACCATTATTGAGTGATGCCCCTTTATAAATCGAAAAATTGCAAAATTTTTAGTTTCCGTTCTGTAACTTAAGTTTGCCCCAACCAAACATGAAACCTATACACAATACTTATTACCACAAAACTAAGATCAAGTACAAATTTGGGTAGCGCTACTTTTATTGTTCTTGAGTTATGTCCCTTTATAATGTTGTATGCAAGCAGGGGCATCATCTGTGTCCATGGGGACACATTCTCCATTTATTTTGTATAATCCGCCAACACATTTTTAAAATATCCTGTATACAAAAATAATAGTTGTTAATTGAATAAAAAAACCTCTCAACTACAAAAGGCAATGAAAGAATTATATAGGCATCCGATATTTTTTAAAACCAATAAAATTTGTTAAGCAGAATCTGCTACCCATAGAGATGAAATGAATCCGTATGCTTGAAGTAAGATTAGCATATGTTGATACTATATATTATCATACATGAAATTGAATATTATGTCCATAACAATGCAAGACATAGAGGTGTATACGAATGAAAGTTATGATAGATCCGAATTTTATTCAGAATGCACCAATAAGAAACCGTAGTTTTTCTTCACTTTATTTACCTAAAACTATTATATCAGCTGCAAAATTATTATTATATGTACGCCTACATTGCACTTCACAATGGAAATTAACAATGTATATTTATATAAACGATCAAACTTGTAAAATAAATAAATAAATAATCTTTATTTCAAGTGGATAATCCCATTAGTTAAAACTAATCTTCCTGAGAGTCCTCAAAATAATATTAACATATTTATAAGTTCATACAATATTAAAATGACATATTATACACAATATACAATCTAGATAATAATGAAAAAGCATATTAATTTGCACAATTAATGAAAAATTTGTAACATCTTGTTTTAAAAGATACAAGTGTATTACTCATTTTTTATTTCATTTGGTAAACTGTTCCATATTTGAGAACCAGAATATGCAAATGTTTTCTTCAAAAAGTTTGTTTTTGGCTTTTGAAGATTTAAGTTTTACATTAGCTGAACATAAATTATAATTTTGATTATCGGTAAAATGAAAGTTTTCTTGTAAATAGTTAGGAACCATATCATTTAATGATTTAAATACAAGTATTGCCTTTTGATATTGAATGCGTTTTTCCACATTTAACCAGTTTAAACTATTAAACAATAAACTGGAGGATGTCATTATGTCAGCTTCTACTATAACCCTAGCAGATTTCTTTAATAACTTATTAATTATAAAAAAGAAGATGTGGTATGATTGCCAATGAGACAACTCTCCGCAAGAGACCAAATAACACAGAAATTAACAACTATAGATCACCGTACGGCCCCCAACAATGAGCAAAGCCCATACCGCACAGTCAGCTATAAAAGGCCCCGAAATGACAATGCAAAACAAATCAAACGAGAAAACCAACGGCCCAACCTA